ATGATCACAGATGAGATGACAGGACTCACCTTTGTAAAATTACAACTTTATGAAGTTATGTCTCCTAAGATCCACCTTTCATGCAGATGTTAGTACTGCTGGCTTTCCACCTGAGCCCTTTTTAAAATGTCAGCTCACAATTTCTGGGTTGAAGAGGCAACTTAATGAAACATTTTTCTATACTGTGTGTGATATTTTCTTCCTCTTGTCTTTCTTTTTCTTTTTATAACAAAAGTTACTTATAAAGATAAGTCAGTGCTACACTGACCATATATTAACAAGCCAATTCAACAGGCTATTGCCTGTTTAATAGGTATTGAACTCCTATCATTTGAGGTATTTTCCAGACCTGCTTAACCTTACTAATAAAATCCACAGGGTTTGGTTTTTCTTGTGCAGTTGGGGCTACCATGATGCACACCCCCACCCCGGGGTGTCATGCACATGGTAGTATGTGGGAATGGTGCCCCTAAATTGTGCAGTGGTTGCTGCTGCTCTAAGTTTAGTTCCTTAGGAATCACTAATTCATTCTATGAATTTTGTCCACAACCAAATTAAATTAATGCCTCAAGTATGGTTTCTTTCTTCTGGGCAGAAATAACTAGGTTAAAGGTAAACTAACAAAATTATACCTTTTTCAAGACTCTTGAAGTCTTGGAATATGTATTTACTAATATTAGTATATTGCAGGGCTTCAAAATTTAGTGTATGTAAACAAACAAACAAACAAAAAGCTTGACTCCGTAATTTCCCATACTCATTGCATCTTCATGCAGTTGGATCTTCTCCAAAGAGGAGTATTACTAGGCAATTCAGACAACTTAATCATAATAGACCCCCCTGCCCTCCTGTTGCCATGATCCCTGTGACCAGGACATAGAACAATCATTTCCTGATATCTTGTAGAAAACGATATAAAGAAACAAGAAGGGGAAAAACAGGCATATAATCTCAAGAGTGTAGAAAACTTTGTTTTCTGCACACACATGTGCAATACATAATTCACAGCTGAATTACTAAAATGATACTTTACAAAGGAATTTGGAATGAACTTCAAATTCAGTGAAATCTGAGCAATGTTATAAGAATTTGTTTACTTTCAAACATCTGCTATTCCTGCAGAATAATGATCTTAAGGAAATTTTGTTATGCAATAAGTTTTGTATAGAAGAAACTACTTTATGGCATATTGTAGGTGGAGGAGTTTTCTCCAGAGCTTTTTACCTTTTTGATTAAAGTAGAACTTGACATGAAATTAAGTGTGGCTATTACTGTGGTTCATGAAACCCAAATACTCATGGGGAAAATTAAGAATTTTAATAACTGGAAAAGAAGAAAGTCGTTTAAATCAGCCTTTAGTTTATCTGCTTAAATTGAACTCATTTATTAAGCAATTATCACACAATTTTGAACTTTGTTCCACTCTTATATAAAAAGTCTCTTCTGGATTTCTTATTTCATTAAAAAAAAAAGTCTGCAGTGCTTCCCTTTGACAAGATGAATCCAGTATATGGATTGGAACCTGAATTATTTCACTTGATTTCTACTGAAGGAAAAGGCAATTAGTTCATTGTGGGGTTAATTTGACATAACTTTATTCCTTGAACATTTGAGAAAAGAATGCCCTTCACTGCTACTTTTTTGCTATTTCTGGATATTCTGAGCAATCCTAGTGACTCATAACCATCCCTTTTCATGGCTGGCTCTGTATAACTGAGGGAACACATCCTTCTGGGTGAGAAGTGAGCCTTGCTTAACTTGGTGTCCCTCACACATTTCCATGGAAGGACTACGACTGGTACAGCAGAATCCTAAAGCAGACAGCTGAAAGCAGCAGAAATCTGTGACGTTCTGTGTTTCATCCCCATGCTGGTTTTTTATTCGACTTCATAAGAGGTGGCTTAGTGGTTGTAAAATAATGGTTTCTCTTCCATTTCTTTCCCTTCACCTCAATAAACTGATGTTCCAGAGAGATCTTTTAGCTTTGTTTTGTGGATGTATGTGCCCTAGACAAACCACTAAATGCCCCCAGATTCTACAATTATATAGTTTGAGAAATGTGGCCTTAATGGATTCAAGCCCTCCTAATCGTACCTTTTAGGGGTTTTAGGCTTTAGATTGGTTTGGGTCTATATTTGTCTAAGTAAATTTCAGATATTATTCTCTCTTAAATTATCTGAAATATGATGGGACAAATGATTCTGGAGCTTGCTTCTCTTTCAGTACCATTCTATCTCTTTCCATTGCTTGACCACCACTTGGGCTTCCATTTGTGAACCATTCAGTTTGTCCTTAATCTTTCCAATTTGATTTTTCTGAAATGTTTCCGTAAATGCCATTAGTCCTTTTCTGTTCACTAACTTGATTGGGCTTTTTATTGTTGTGGTTAGATTTCAGCTTCTCTCCACATTTTGGCATTTCCTCTGTTGATGGTGAATCATTTTATCGGAAGTTTGGGCTAGGTTTATGCCATGGTAGCAATATCTCAGTGGCTTTCAACAACGGAGGTAGGTTTCTCACTCATGAAAATGCAGGTGGTGGCTGTGCTCTGTGGTCCCTTCACTCTGGGATCCAGATTGAAGAAACAAATTCTGTATGGGGAGAGGAAAGAAATGGCAGGAGCATGTGATGGCTCTTTTAGCTTCAGCTTGAAAGTAGGACATGTAACTTCCACTCATGTTTCATTGGCTAAGTCAAATCCTACAGCCAAGCCTGATGTTGCTGAGGCAGGAAGTATGATCTTTCTCCAATGACAGATCTGGTAGGGATGTGCAGCATAGATTGACAATAATAAAATCTACCAAAATTATTATATGACATTATACCAAAGCCATATTTTTCCCACTTTTTATATACTCCAAATGTGACACAATGCCCTCACATAATGGATATTTAGAAGGCGAAAGACCCACTTCTTTTGTTCCAATATACTTTTCTTGGTGGTTTTGAGGACTTCACCCTGACTTCTCTGGGTCCTCTTCATTGTCTACTTTTACTCAAGTGTTTATCATGAGCATTTTCTCTTTATTCTCCTCTTCCTCTCTCTGGAAATAGTTTTCTACTACACTTTGCTGTTTGGAACCCCACCATGATTTGCTTTATTTTCTCTAGCTGATGGAATTTGCCATCACACAAACTTCTGAGTGTTTCAACAAGAGAATAGAAAGCTTGAGTTTTGATTTTAAACCATGTTGAGACACTAGAAAGGGAGTCAATTGTTTAGTACTTTGATTTCTGCTTTGCCATTCTGAATAGAACCTTTGTGTTTGAAGTTCATACGTATCAGCAAACGGACTCATCCTAAGCTTTTGTCTGGTAGTAACTGGGTTTATAGAGCTACAAAAATAACCTGAGCTTGACTCAGATACAGAATACCTCACCTCAGTGTTGCATAGATTTCAAAGAAATAATGTCACTATACCTGCACAATGCAAGTGTTATACGGAAAATATCCTAATTCAGAATCCCTTTTGCCATCAAGCATAGTCTTAATTATTTCTTTTCAGTTTCTTTGTATTAATCATTATCTTTAAATGTGATGGGCATTTGTTTTTCTACTCCGACACTTTGAATAGTGGTTGCAATGCTAAATGTAATCTGCCTTGCAGTGCAATTGGTTTTTTTTTTTTTTTTTTGCTTATATATTTTAGCTCCCCCACTAGATTATAATGAAGAAAGAGGGTCCCCCCACCACCACTCTTTTGGGCAAATACTAACAGTGTTTGTTAAATCAAACATAACTATTGAAATTATTGAGCTCAAGGTGGAGTCCTGTATGCTAGCCCTCTGCAATTTTGTTAAATGACTCTGCAATTAAAATGCATGCATGTTTTAAACAGATTTTCAGTTGTAAAGTCATAGAAGCTACTGTTGGTGCTCAGACATATGCCCCTAGTACCTACTTTTTCTGAGCCCACCAGACTGACTTGCCAGCATTGGCAACCCTTTGCCTGAGGGCTTCTCTGGTTTCTGGAGCCCTCTCTGCCCCTATTTAGATATATTGGGGAATTAGTGTCCCCTAGGAGCATCTAGAAACATAGCTGACCGGAGATATTGGATAAATGCCTCAGCTTCCTTGCCTTTCCGTTAGGGTATCTATAGGGTGTTTCATTGACACTGTCTTCCAGAGTTCCCCAGAGGAACTGAGGTCCAGTTGCCCACAGTGGTAACTTGCTTGATAATGCTCCCTGTATCCACTGTCTTCCCTTCTTTTCCTCGCTTCTCTACTCTCCTATTGGCATTTCTTTGATTAACTCCAAATTAAACTATTCGCAGTCTCATCCTAGTTTCAGAGAGTCTCGGAGTTTCTAAAAAGGTATCCAAACCAAACCAGGCATTCATGTGTCAACATTTACAATTTAACAGTTTCTCTATTTCAGTGCAGTCCAATAAAAACATGATGCAAACTACATAGTTTAGAATTTTCTAGTGGCTACAACCTTAAAGTGAAAAGAAAGAGGTGAAATTTTAATAATGTACTTTAACTCAGTATACCCAAAATATTATGATTTTAACATGTAATCTGTATAAAATTAATGAGGTTTTTTTTGTTTTTTGGTACTCAGTCTCTAAAATCTGTTGTATAAAATATACTTACACTGTAAATGTAAAATACCATTACAGTGTGTCTCAATTGCAAGTACTCACAGCCATATGTGGCTTGTGGCTACCATATTAGATAATGGTGATCACTTCCCTGCTATTATAACCCATGTATCAAAATCTAGAAATTTAATAGCTCTTGAATTAGAGGCTGTGTAATGAATTGTATTGTCTATTAGCAAAATCTTGCCTTCTCCTTTTGCTCTTTGAAGTGGAATGAAATTTCTATAAATATCTAGACTGATGGACATTATTGCCTTGTTTAGTCTGTGTCCACATATTTATGTTTTTTTCAAGAATGAGATTCTGGCAAAAGTAAATTTGAGACTTAACACTTCTTAGATGTTTTCATGCAAAATATAGACTAGATGTTTAGCATCTGTGCTTGTGTTTTTTAGGCAGAGGGTACCAGACTTCAGCGAGAACTCCGAGGATATTTAGCAGCAATCAAAGGTAATGTGTATGAGTTGTTTACTGCATGTTACTAAGCACAGGTTGTTCTTGGAATTCGTGAGTGACAGGATTGAGTGTTAATTACAAAGCCATTTGGCTTCCTGGCAAGATGGGTGCTTGAACACAGGTGTTCCATTCCACCCACCCCCAAATTCCCATTGAAATGATAATCAGAATATATAAGGAAAAAATATGTGTGCCCTTATGCTGGAAACTAGAAATAAATGCCACCTACATGCCAGAGATTTCCAGGAAAATTTCTTAGAGTGAGCTTGAGACCTTGTTTAAGAAAAGCTGCAGTTGGCTTACCTCCTGAGGGAGACCACATCCCAAGAGTGGAGCACTCACAGACTCGCACCTAAGCCCTCTCACTGGAAGGGGCAAGACATGGTGGCAGAGGCAGGTGGAAGATGATCAGCAAACATGGCCCTGGACTGGCTGTGACTTGTGTGGACTAGCAGCACTTGCAGCCCTACCAACATGCAATGCACGGGCAGAGAGAGGCCCCGGCATGAGTTTCTGGGACTCAGCCATGTAAGGCAAGGAAATGAGGCCACTGGAGGAGGGGGAAGAGAGCAATAGGGAGGTGGGCTCAGCCTGTGCCTGCTATCCATCATCACGCTGCCTGCCCTGAGTCACAGCCAAGTGTGCCCATGGATATGATGTATCATAAGGCAGATTTTGTGGGGAAAGAATGGATCATCTGACAAGGAGTATTGGAAAACTGGCCAAACACTTAGAAAACAGTGAAATTCTCAACCTCACACTTTACTCCCTCCTTCCTAATTCCAGATATAGTAAAGATGTAAATATGTTGTACTGGACTCTATTAACTTCAGTAGGGATGGCACCAGGTTCAAAAGGCCGAAAAAGGGAACCAGAGTCAGCAAACAAGACATAGGATTTTATTAGTGGGAAACTTACATACAGAGTGGGCCCAGTCATGGCAGGGCTGGGCAGGAGTATCGCACCGCCAAGTGGTGGCAGGCTGGGCAGGAGAACTGCATCCATTTGCAAAAAGCAATGCAGTTTCTGTAACATTTTCGCTTAGCACCCTCTACCTAACAACCTCCACCTGGCAACCTTCGTTTAACCCAAAACACATGGCCTCAATCCCCTGTATGGCTTACCTTCCATGGTACAGGCTCAGGGCTCAGATGTTCCTTGTAGACAAGGAATGAATCTCTGGGTTGGCCACTCCCAGATTCCTTAGCTCAGAACGCTGAGCACATATTCAGGTGCATCTACCATACAGGGTGATTCTCAGGGTACGCTTAAGTTATCACTGTCAGGTGTGTCTGCCATGCATCACTATGCAAAGAAATGTGCTAAAGTACTAGAATAAAATACAGTAAATTTAGTCTCCAGGCTGTAGAGGTCTTTATAAGGGTTACTCGCAAGTCAGAAACCCATAAATCTCTCCATAGAGAGGGAGAAATTTGACCTCATAAGTATGTAGAGTTTAATATGTTTTTTAAAAACACCATTTTGGCAACATAGTTAATGAAAGTAAATCAAGATATAAAGAGCTCAGTGAGTAGACTAAATGAAGGTCAATTGGTTAAATTAAAATTGGGCAGAAAACTCTAAGGAAAAATTAGCCAAAGAAGAACTATAGATGGGTGATAAACACGAAAAAGCCTTATCCTCATGAATAATCAAAGAATATTAAGTAGCATCGAAAAGAAGATTTTATCATTTTTCCTCCAAATGTTCAAAGACATTACAAATAAAATACTGCTGTATTTAGTACTGGTAAAGCTCTGGGAAGTGGACTCCATTCATGTATTGCCAGGAGGATAGCTTTTCTGGAGACCATTTAGTAAAAACTTTTATTCATTGATTTATTTATTTGGTATGCTTTTTGACATACCAGTTTCATTCTAAGAATTTATTCTCACAGTTTTAATGTGGATGTGTAAAACTGAATACAAACATGTTATTAAAATAATGAAATAATAAAAATATAATAATAAAATGGCCAAAATAATAAAAAATAGCAAAACTGATTTTTAAACTAAAATATATTTATGAATTTTATAGTCCAGGCATAGCTTTTTAATTCTCATGACAGCTCTATAAGGCAGGTAGTTTTATTATCTTCATTTTATAGATAAGAAAAGTGAGTTCCTGCCAGGCACAGTGGCTCACACCACCTTTAATCTGAGCATTTTGGGAGGCCAAGGCGAGTGGCTCACTTTAGGCCAGGAGTTCAAGACCAGCCTGGGCAACATGGCAAAACAACATCTCTACTGAAAATACAAAAATTAGTCAGGTGTGGTGGCGCATGCCTGTAGTCCCAGCTACTCAGGAGGCTGAGGCAGGAGAATTGCTTGAACCAGGGTGAAGGTTGCAGTGAGTGGAGATCATGCCACTGCACTCCAGCCTGGGTGACAGAGTGAGACCCTGTCTCAAAAAAAAAAAAAAAAAAAAAAGAAAAGAAAAAGAAAAGAAAAAAGAAAAAGTGATTTTTTAAACAGAGTTTAAATAGCTCATCCAAAGTTGCATGCCAAGGAAACAACAGGGCCAGATTGCATATTTCGTTCTGTTTCTCCAGAGCCCTGGTTTTGTCTATTGTCTTACTGCCTTTGAACTACATGACCAATGGTAAGGCATCAGTTTCACAAGTCAGAGTTCATCTATACAATGGGATAATGGCAACCTACTACTATTACTTTTTCATGAGCACTTACTATGTGCTAGAGTCTGTGCTGAGCATTTTAGGCACATTACCTGTTTCTAACTTCCCAACATAGCCATATTATCAATGTCATTAACTTGATTTTATATTTGCAAAGAAGTAAGTCTCAGAGAATTTAACTTCCACAGTTTGATGGAGCTCATCATTAATTACTCCCAAATCAACCTTAAGTATTTGTAACAGTTCAGTCAGAAAACAGAAGCCACTCTAGGTATTTCTTTTATTATTGATTTAGGATTTGAACACAGAAGTCATATATTATTTCTAGCGCAGGACTTTCTCTGGGTAGTTGATTTTTTGGAAATGTGGATAAGTTTGTTGAATGAAAGAGTGAGTTCTCTTTCCCAAGTCTATTCAATTTGGTCTGTGCTGCTTATAAAGCGTGCTGCTTTATAAAGACTGGCATAATTATTTTCCTTAATGTGATCTAGAAGAATTACCTGAGGGTGAGGCTTGAGCTCCGGAGAAAAGCTGGGTAAAGCATCAAATAAGCCTTTTTGGCAGACTGCGCCTGCACTCCAGGGCTAGTGGCCATGGCTCCGTATGAAGGAGAAAGGAATTCTATCAGCTTTTCCCCACCTTGGGTTTGCTGATTGACTGTGTTAACAAGTGATGCTCCAAAAAAGAGATCTCTGTTTAAATTACTTTTTCCACAGCTGATTGGAATGAATTTTTAAACAGGCTACTACTGAGTTTCTCAGAGCCCTTAATATGCTAAAGTCAACTCCAGAAGTCCTGTGGGACAGGCAGGAATTCTGAGTTTTTTTGACTGCAGGACCCTCCTCTCTTCTCAAAGCCTTGTGAAGAATGAGTAGTGTTCCTGAGAACACATTTTGGGTTTTGGGACCAAACTTGAAAACAAGGTATATGCCTGTGTTAGTCCGTTCTCACACTGCTAATAAAGTCATGCCCCCAGACTGGGTAATTTATAAAGAAAAAGAGGTTTAATGGACTCACAGTTCCACATGGCTGGAGAGACCTCACAATCATGGCGGAAGGCGAAGGAGGGGCAAAGGCATGTCTTGCGTGGCAGCAGGCAAGAGAGAGTATGTACAGGGGAACTCCCTTTTATCAAACCATCAGATCTCATGAGACTTACTATCATGAGAACAGCACCAGAAAAACCCGCCCACATAATCAGTTACCTCCCACCAGGTCCCTCCCACAACACATGGAGATTATTAGAATTCAAGATGGGATTTGGGTAAGCACACAGAGCCAAACCATATCAATGCCTTAAGTAGATCATAATTTACATTTTCAAAGGTTTTCATGGGCAATTTTTCTTGTTTTCACAAGGACAACTCTGGCTAACTAACCCTGCTGTAATGCAGGTAGCATCAGGGCAGCATAGGAGAAAGTGATATCTAGCCCTGGAGAGTCATGGGTCCTGTGGCAATTGTGGGAAAATCATTAAGTCTCTTAGTTGCTTTGGGTTCCTTATCTATTAAGTGCTTCATTTCTCTCAGAAGCCCCCAAAGACCCCAAAACTGGGATTCTGTGAAGTTCGGTTAAATGGATTCTAATCATTTTATTATGACTGATTTCTGGATGGCTTCTCCTCTGTGGGTCTTTATGATTTCTGCTGATGCTTAGGCTTCATGAGGCAGATCTTATGCTTGCATTCATTTTAGCAGCAAACACGTCTGGAGCACCATTTGTGCACCTGACACTGTTCTAGGACAGGGAGATGCAGAGATGAACAAGACATACTGCCTGCATGCAAGGAGCGCACAGCAGAGTGGGGAGACAGTTAAATAAAAAAGGCCAGATGGTATATGTAAAAGGGCATAGTAATATGTATTTTAATAGATAACGTGCATTGAGTGCCATCATAACAGAGGACAGACTCCCACCTTAGGAGAGGCAAGAGACTGGGGCAGGAATGGTTCTTCCAAGGAACTTACATTTGAATGAACCCAAGAAGTGGGGTCATAGGTGGCCATCAAATGGTTAGGTTTTCTAGAGAAAGATAGATTTCAGAGGGACATTGCAGGTGGAAGAAGCAACCGGACCAGGAAGCAGAAGGAAGCATGGGTTCTTGAGGGAACAAACAGAGCAGTTAGATGCAAGCAGAAAATTGAGCTGGACGAAACACGGAAAGGCGGGCAGCATTTATATAAAGAAGTGCTTCATGTATCATATCATACGGGAATTTTATTCTATCAATAGACAGGAGAGTCATTGTTAGAGTTATTGTCGGCAAGGGAAAAAGTTCCATGATCAGATTAGCATTTTAGAAAAATAGTTATTGTGATTGTGTGGAATTCAGGCTACAGGAAGTGCAACTGCATGGAGATTTAGTAGAAGTCTAGTTCAATACTTCAATAATACTATTAGCTAACACTTACTGAGCACTTATGTGCTAGGCACTGAGATAAGCATTTGACATGCCTCAGTTTATGTAATTTTCTCTATAACCTTGTGGCAGGTATATTTATTGGTATTTTACACTTTGGAAAACTGGGGTTATAGGTGATTAATAATTTGCCTAAAATCACACAAATCACATGTAATGGAACCAATTTTTTAACAAAGGCTGATTAATTGCAAATAATAGTTTTAATTATTTTGTTATGTTGCCTCCAAAAATATTTTGTATTATGATGGCTGACAGTAACTTGTGCCAGCTACTTTGCTAATCCTGTTACGTGGATTATGTTATCTAATCTAAATCATAGGTGATGAGTACCTAATCCAGGGAAGGGCAGTGGGCAGGGAAGGAAGGGGCTGGGTTTGAGAATCAGGTGGAATTGGTGACTGAGCTTTGGGAGGATGAATCTGGGATGACTTCCAGTTTTCAAACTGGAGCAACTGGGTGGCATTCATGAGAACTAAGAAAAGGAGATGAAGCAGGTTTAGACAGGAAAATTTAAAGTTTGTTTTTGACATGTGAAGTTTGAGGTATTAATAAGACATCCAAGTGGAGATGTCCAGTAGGAATTTAGAATTGGGAGTCACTGGCATGCACGTGCAGCGGGGGCCAGACACATGGATGATGAACATGCCAGATCTTTCTCTAAATGGAGCACAGTGCAGGTGGTGTCATTAATAGTTTTTTGTTTATGTGTCTTATGTGTAGGCATAACTATGGGGTAGGGTTGACTATTCTTGAGTTACTTCACCAACTGCCTATTTTGTTCCAACTCTTGGTTCCATCCTTGTTCTCCTTGAGAATCTAAGAAAAAGATGCCCACTCTTGCTTTCCTTTGAGGCAGCTGCTGTCTTTTTACACAATTCTCTTCTAAACAATGGGACAAAGCTGCTAGATACTTGCAGTATTTTAGACGTTCTTTTAATGGTTTATCCTTGCTGCTGGTTATTTATTTTAACTGATGTTATTTTTAACTAAAACACATACTCTCAGGCTATTTTTAAGCAAGGAGTATGTATAAAGTAGTGCAATCTATGCAACAAGTCTTAAAGGATGAAAATAGAAGCTCATAAATTTGGCTGCGAATGGGAATAGACAACATTTTATGAAATGTCTTGGAGAAGGTCCAAAATTTTGAGGAGAGTGAAGTGATTCCCATCCAATAGTAAAATAATAATAATTCTTCTATATATGATGCTGGGCATTTGTCTTACAGTTTTAGAAATCACTAATCTTTTAAGAAAATTTGGATATTGTATATTATTCAACCCCAGAGGTAGCATTTAGCACCTATTCTGCTTTGATGTTGCCAAACTACTCTGAAGGGAATGTGTATTTTAGCTTTTATTTGCCCATCACACTCTGTCAGCAGAGTAATCCCTAAATCCCTAAAAGCTCTGCCAGTCTGGAGCTAGGCTTGCAGCCTCTCACCTGTGTATCCATTAAAGTGCATCCTATGGAGGAAATGTTCTCAAAACAATTTCCATGTCAAAATGGCTTCTGTCCAAATGATCCATCACCACTTATCCACCCTGTAATTAGTAGTTACTTTTGGCTGTTAATAGATATATTTACTGCAACATCGTGCTTTTAGTCTTGATGATTAAAGTCTTATATAATTTTATTTTAAGGTTATATTCATGATTTTATTTTTCATCACAAAGATTATTTGGCCTACAGTGCCAAATTTCTTTTTCTTCTCTTAAGACATTGTTAAAAAACCTATCTACACAGCTATGTATAGTTTCCGTCAGACTTAAGACAAAGATTTAAAGAAAATGCCAGAAGTCTTTTGGCATCTGGATTATAGAAGGGGGTCCACTAATGACTAACACTTGGTATGAATTTGAGGGATATATTTCTTGATCGAGATTTGCTTGTACTTGGGTGAGGGTGAATTTGGACACTTGGGATAATGTAGCTTCTGCCTCAGTGTTGACCATATCACGAGAGAACGCATCCCCCTTGCTTGGATTCAGAGTGCTAGGGGTCGGATTCAGGTTTTGTCTCTTGTTTGCTGTCCCTTCACCTGCACGACTGTGTTTCATCAGAGTCCCCAGAGTCTTGAGTCATACTGTTTTTTTCCTACCCCAGACTCTGCCAGGGCTTCATCTGATGGTGGTCAAGTCACTTCAGCTCATGTGGGCAGGATACCTCATTGTCAAGGGCTTCCTGGAATGTGCCCAGTGATGCTCTGAGGGAAGGGAGATGTTCTGTGTCTAAAGAGAACACAAGTGCGCTATGAAACTCCAAGTCACATGTAGACTTTTATACATACTTCTCAAGGATATACTTCTGTCATTTCAGACATCTTTTAGTTTGTTCTTTTCTCTCAGTTGAACCCAGAATTAGCTACCTCCAATCCAGCAAGGGTGTCGAGTTTTCAGTTTAACAACTGATTTTCATCTTAGGATTCACTGACCTTAAGTTTACAGGATGTGGTTTTTATTTCTCATGACAGTGCTCTGATTTTCCTCTCCTCTCCCTGTTTCCAGCCCCCTTTTATCCCCGTTAGTCCTCGCTAGGTGGGACCTGGCCACATTGATGTCTTGGCCTCAGCTTCCTGAGTAGCTGGGATTACAGGTGTGTGCCACCATGCCTGGCTAATCTTTTTTGTATTTTTATTTCACTATTTTGGCCAGGCTGATCTCGAACTCCTGACCTCAGGCAATTCACCTGCCTCGACCTCCCAAAGTGTTGGGATTACAGGCGTTAGCAACCGTGCCTGGCCCATCTTCACTTTTCACTCTTTAAGTTTGGAATCATCAGGCAGCAGAACTGCACGGTGCCTTCTTAGCACACTGTCTCGCCTCATGATTAAAACTGTGAAATGGGAAGAGCAAGTCAGGGGACAGGTGGACTGAGCAAGGCTCGTATCTACCTTTCCACTGTCAGGGAGAGTCTTCTGCCAGAGGCGTGTCTCCAAGTCCCCAGCTCTTCCTGGCACCTTGTTTTGCTCTCAGCCATGAACTGTCTTCGTGACTTTTCAGTACATACATTAACCTTTGTGCAGGGGGTCCTTGGAAGAGACTAAAAAGGACTGGGTGATACTTTTTATGTCACCATGTTGTGCTCAGAAGCATGTATCTTTAATGTTGTTCTTTAATGTTGCAAACCATAGTTTTGCAACATATCAAATGTATCCCTAATGAAAATTGAGACCCAAAGGCTTAGGAACCCTAAAATTTCTAAGAGTTTTGATTTAAAACTGCAGTCATAGTTTTAAATAATACAGCAGGTCTTCAAACAGCATCATTTCATTCAACATCATTTTGTTATAATAATGATGAGAAAAAAAAAAAAATCTTGGCCAGGGCCACTGTCTGTGTGGAATTTGTACACCGGGTTTTCTCTCAGTACTTTGACTTCCTCCCACGTCCCAAAGATATACAGGTGAAGTTTACTGGCGTGTCAGTGAGTGTGGGTGAGTGAGTGCGTGCTGCAGTAATATGCATCTTGTCCAGGGCTGGTTCCCATCTTGTACTCTGAGCCTCTAGGAGAGGATCTGGTCACCCATGACCCTAAACTGGAGTAAGCAAGTAAATAATTATCCTACTTGTTTTTATTAATCTTTCTTAAATGTATGTACTGCTCTCATTTATTTCAATGTTCAATATTAGAAGTGTGTTGACCTTTAGTTAGAAGTTTTGTGATGTGTCTGTGAAAAATATGTCCCGGGAACTTAACTCTTATTTATATGAATTAGCCTTGGGTAAAATGGGTTTCATTATTCTTCATATCAATTAAAGTCACACTTTGCAAGAACCTATAGATGACATTAAGTAAGGACTTACTATACTGAAAAATGACAAACATTTTTTTCTTTGCTCTTTGTAAAAATTTTAGGTCACTTAAAACTTAACCATTTAACCACTCTAACCATGTTTACCATTTTAGGCCACTTAACCACTTTTGACTGTTATGCCCTATAATCCTATTCATTTTTACTTCTAGTCCCTTCTAAAAATGCTTTATGCCTTGTATTTAAATTCATTTAGGACTAATTTTAGTTTGAGAACTCTGCGGTTGTATGGACCAGTGTTCTTAGCATCCGACACCACTTGGCAAGTGATAGCACACATAATAGGACACATTATGATTATTGTGGTTTTCAGAGTAGGATATTTGTTGATTTTTCCCGAGACCCCATATCTATCAGTATCAAGTGAATAATAGAAAATGCACAATGTGATAAGTCTTAGAAACCCTCAAAGAAAGATACGACAGCAGATACAAGCAGCAGCTGTGCCTTTATAATTTTTCCTTAAATGTTTAGCAAGTAGTCAATATTTTTCTCTCACTTAAAAAAGTGGAGGAAGGGAGAAGAGAATCCTCACCCATTTCTGTGTAACAGGAGTTGTTTCTCTCCGACACTAGGCATGCAAGAGGCCTCCATGAAGCTAACGGAGTCACTACATGAAGTCTATGAGCCGGATTGGTATGGGCGGGAAGATGTGAAAATGGTTGGCGAGGTAAGAACTGGGGTGGCTTCCATGAGGCTCCCACGAGCCTTGCTCAGTCCACCTGTCCCCTGACTTGCTCTTCACACTTCACAGTCTTAATCATGAGGTGAGACAGTGTGCTAAGAAGGCATCGTGCAGTTCTGCTGCCTGATGATTCCAAACTTACAGTGAAAAGTGAAGATGGACCGGGCACGGTGGCTCACGCCTGTAATCCCAACACTTTGAGAGGCCGAGGCGGGTGAATTGCCTGAGGTCAGGAATTTGAGATCAGCCTGGCCAAAATAGTGAAATAAAAATACAGAAAGATTAGCCAGGCGTGGTGACACATGCCTGTAATCCCAGCTACTCAGAAGCTGAGGCAGAATTGCTTGACCCCAGGAGGCAGAGGTTGCAGTGAGCCAAGATCGCACCACTGCACTCCAGCCTGGGCAACAGAGCAAGACTCCATCTCGAAGAAAATAAAAGTGAAGATGATCATAAAACCACTTGGGTAGAGAGCAGTATTTTAAGATTCCTTTTTGCAAAATGACAATATCATTTTTCTGTCCTCTCTACAAGCCTTAGCAGCCCATTTCTAGCAGACATGGATCACAGTGTGAATTGTGTCCCAACTTCACCCCCTCATCTCAATCCCGCTATTGACTATCCTTCCCCAAATGCAGGGACAGGAGTTCAGAAGAGGGTCCATTCCACTTTAACACCAGCTAGTCCATTCACAGATATTCACTTCATGAAGACAAGCACAAAGTCAGAATGTTAAAAGGAATTTGATTTCAGGATGGCTTTGGCCCTAGACATGTCTTAACACCTGAAATCAGGTTTCTGGCTGGGGGCTGTCTGGCTGACGGGAAGTGAGTAAGTGGGTTTCACTTTGTCGAAAGCAGAATGGACCAGAGACTGAGTATCGCTGTGTGATGTTGGACTAGTTCTTTAATCTTCTTAGGCTTTAGTTTCCTCATCTACAAAATGAGAAAAACAATTGTACCCACTAATAGGACACTTATTGCCTTTGTGTGGATGTCCTCTACCTACTCAGTGTTTGGTACATGTTATGATTACTGATGTGAGACAACTGCCAGTCACAGATTGTCTCACATCCAAGTTCTTTGTTAAAACAAAGAGCAGTTGTTTGTCATGTCCGCTACTCCAGGTGAGTTATTGCAGCTCACTTAGGTACAGACAACCTAAGTTCGATGTGGCAGCCAGAGCTCAGGGGAAGGTCTGTTAGGTGATGCACTGAATGTCTGTGTGGCTTTGGAAAACAGGTGTTAACAGCAGAGTCCTAGGCTGCTCCATGACAATTCTGACATCCTGACATTAAGCTTCATAATCTTCTTATAACTGAGATACTAACAGAGACTTATTTATGAAGAAAGCGCTTGTTGGTTCTTTTACATCTTTCAAAAACTTTCAGGATGTAGGTTTGGCCAAACCAGACCGCACACATTACTTTCAGATGCAATTATTAAGTAATTGCATCTTCTCATATTTCTTCAATTAAAACACAGTATTTCAACATCATGTTGCTGACTGAACACTTTGTAAATTTCTAATTAGTGGTATAACTGAAAATTCATCGCGAAAGAAAAGAATTTTTAAGGGAATAATAGAAATTTGTGTTAATAACTTTTCAAAATACTGCATTACATTCTATGTATGGCAAAGGCCACTGTTGGCATTTCTTTTTTAGGAAATGGCTGTTATCCTACCTTGGTTCTTGCAGCTGCCAGGATTTTTGGAATCCTCAGTTGCAGATGCAAACATAGGCTCTTGTAATGATGAAGAAACTGAATACTGCGTGTTCAGAGGGTCTACTCACGTCAGCAGTTGAGCCTTTTTAAACAGTGGATTTGAATGTTTTGGTTTGCATAAAATTCTTGAATTGAGATTTGTAAAAATTAGGACTACTTTTCAAAGTGTGAAAAAGAAACAAAAGCAAATTTTAAAAGTGTGTGTGTGTTAACAAGATGAAAACTTATGTCTCACATAGAGGAATTTAAACGTCGGCAGTCCAGGCATTGCATATCGGCCCCACAAGTATGAGGGGCCCATGTTTGCCATTTTTAGTCTGGCTTCAGGGGCAAGGTACTCTCTGAGCACTGGCCATCAGCTCTTGTTTCTGCATGCCAGTTAGCAAGGAGGATGAAGTCTGGAAGACAGCCCACTCCTTCCTTCTTTTTCAGGACACTTCCTGAAAGTATATCCCATTGTCTAGAACACAGCCACATGACCGCACGTGGTTGCAAAGGAGTCTGGGAAGTAGAGTCTTTATCCTAGGTGGCCAAGTGCCCAGCTAAAATGGGAGGTTCAGTTAGTAGGAAGGAAGAAAGGATAGAGATTGGGTGACAAAGAGCAGACTCTGTCAAGAGACCCAGAATGTGCTAGTGAGAGAAAATTGAAGATGACATTCTTGAGTACCTGCTATTTGCCTGAAATTCTGTGAAGCACTTTACATTGCTAACTCATTTAACTGGGGAAATTGAAATTCAGGGAGGTCTAGGTCCCCGAAGTCACACAGCTGGGATTAAAAAGTCCCCTGGTGAGGCAGCCCGGTGTGATAGTCATATCATGACTTTCATATCATGGCTTTGAGTTCAAGGAGACAAATCTGAGTTGAAACCTGTGTCTGTCATTTATCAACTGCATAACCTTGGCCAAGTTATATGACATCTCTGGGCTTCCGTGTCCTCTTCTGTACTGTGGAAACAAAGTCTTTTCTCATAAAACAATTGTGAGAATGCCTTAACATAGTGGCAGTGGGAATACTAGTGTAATAATACTAATACCTAATATTCATTGTGTGTTTAACATAATTGATACTGCATAAATGGTAAGACCTTTCCCAATATGACTGTAACTTTTCTGTTTTCCCTGTGGAGGATTCAGAAATGATTTGTTGTTTATTTCAGTGTGGATTGTGTTCTAATTTCATGGAGTGCTTCAGAAGCAAATTGTCTTAGTGGAATTATTCTCTTAGCCCCAAAGTCCATCTATAGGGTTATGGGGATCTTTTGAAGTTTCTGCATTCTTTGGTAATTTAGAATCAGCAATACAATTTTAATGAGCTAGCCTGTTTTGCTAGCTAGAACCAGTGGCCAAATTGCTTTAAAATTTTATTGCATTATTAAATGATTCTCATTTTTCCCTAGCATCTCATATCTGGAAAAGTATTACTTGTCTAATTTTATAGTTTCAGATACGTTTTAGGAGTTTGGTGAAAGGTATCCAATTAAAATAACTCAGCAGTGGTCTCTTTATTTCTTTTAGAAATGTGATGTGCTGTGGGAAGACTTCCATCAAAAACTTGTGGATGGGTCCTTGCTAACACTGGATACCTACCTGGGGCAATTTCCTGACATAAAGGTATTTTACTCTGTATCTATAAAGAAAAGAGTTGAATGGGGTCATGTAGTTATTGAAACATGGGCAAGAAAAAAATTATTAAAGGTCCTCAAACTGACATCAAAGATACTTGGTAACTTTTCATTTATTTAAGCATGGGATTTTTATATTGTTCCTATCAGTTTGAAAAGAAATGTCATTACAGAAATCACATTTTGCCTTTAGTGAACTGCTTCAGCTTTTATTATTCTACAGAAGTCTTTTTAAACCTATAGATATAAAATCATAAACCAGAGCTGCCAAAAATTCCAATCTTCTTTATAATCAAAACTTTTTATTATATAGCATTTGACAAGGATTTCCATTAGAATAACCAGTGGTCACAAGGAAGGGAGAAATTCAATTGTAAATGTGAGAGCAAAATCTGATCTTTCCTTGTTTACTGTCTATTTTGCATGCATTTATAGTGAACCTGGATAGTTTTTCTCTCATTGAAATTTTCAGGTAGAAGTTAAAATGTTAAGATATAAGCATTTCAAATACATTTGCATCTGGACCTAAAAATTATTAGGTCTAAAACACTGATCTTATTTGACCCTTGAATCTATTACAGAGGTAAATGGACGAGTGAAGTATTGAATATTATAGATTTGGAATAGACTCTGGAGGTAAAGATGGCTTTTAAACTAACAGGGTTGGTACATGGTAAATGAACCTGAATAGATCAGACTAGATGTGTTAGACCTATTGACAAAATGCCACAGAAAGCAAATCCAAACAGTGGGTTTTCGATGATGTTACCGTATTAGGCAGCAAAGTGCTTTATTGAGTAGTTGGGCGAATGCAACCTCATTAACAGGTGTGAATTGGGTTTTAAAAATTCTCTGAGAAATTAAAAAATGAAATTGTTAAAAATTCTGTAAAACTGTGTGCACCAGGGAACATGTTTTGAGACATCCTCAGATAATTTTGATTAGTCACTCAATTTTTGCCTTGGGATTTGTAGTGTTTGTGGAGCAAACAGTCTCACAATAGTAAACACTTAAGAGTACTGCTTATTGCATTGCAATTTATTTTCAATGTTATTTTATTTTATTTATATTTTTTACTTTATGGAAGTAAGAACATTTAACATGAGATCTACCCTTTAAAAGATTTTGAACTGCACAATGCAGTATTGTTACTATTCATCTTACATAACTGAAATTTTATACCCATTAATTAGCAACTCTCATTTTCCAGCTCTCTCTAGCCCTTGGCAACCATCATTCTATGTATTGTTTGCTTCTCTGAGGTTGTTTGTAGGTCTTTGGATAAATGTCTGTTCTAGTCCACTGCCCTTTCTTAAGTCAGCTTATTAGTTTTTTTTCTATTGAGCTCTAGGTGTTCCTTTGTATATTTTGGAAATTAACTCCTCATCAAACATGTGGTTTCAGATCTTTTCTCCCTTTCCATAGCTTGCATTTTACTCTTCATTGTTTATTTTGCTGAGCAGAAGCTTTTTACTTTGATGTAGTTCCTCTTGTCTATTTTTGTTTTTGTTGCCTGTGTTTTTGGTGTCAAGTCCAAGAAACCATTGCTAACACCAATGTCTATTCTAAAACATCTTCATTTAGAAAATGAAGCCTTTCCCCCTCAGCTTTTCTTCTAGGAGTTTTACAGTTTCAGATCTTACAGTTCAGGTCTTTAATCCATTTTAAGTTGATTTTTTGTGTATGATATAAGATAAAGGTCCAATTTAATTTTTTGTCATGTAAATATCCAGTTTTCCCAGCAACATTTATTGAGGAGACTACCTGTTCCCAATTGTGTATTCTTGGCACCCTTTTTGAAGATCAGTTGATTGAATATTTGTGGATTTACTTCTGGGCTTTATATTCTGTTCCAGAGGTCTATATAACTGTCTTTATGCCAGGACAATGCTGTTTTAATTACTGAGGTTTGTAACACATTTTGAAATAAGAAGTGTAATGCCTCTAGCTTTGTCTTTCTTCTTCAAAGTTGTTTTGGCTATTTGGGGTCTTTTGTGCTTCCATGTGAATTTTAGAATTAAAAAAAAAACTTTCTGTTAAAAATTCTATTAAGATTTTGATAGGGATTGCATTCAATCTGTAGATCACTTTGGGTAGTATGGGCAGAAAGTCTTTCAGTCTGTGCACCCAGGATGCCATTACATTTGTTTGTGTCTTCTTTATTTAATCAATATTTTATAGTTCTCAGCGTACAAATCATTTCACTTCCACAGTTAGGTTTATTCTTAAGTATTTATCTTGGATGCTATTGTAATTGGTATTGCTCTCCTAACTTCTTTCTCAGTTTGTTACTAGTGTATAGAAGGCAACTAATAATTTTTTAAATTATACTTTAAGTTCTGGGATACATGTGCAGAACGTGAAGGTTTGTTACATAGGTATACATGTGCCGTGGTGGTTTGCTGCACCCATCAACATGTCATCTATATCAGGTATTTCTCCTAATGCTATCCCTCCCCAGCCCCCCATCCCCCAACAGGCCCCAGTGTGTGATGTTCCACTCTGTGTCCATATTTTCATTGTTCAGCTCCCACTTATGAGTGAGAACATGTGGTGTTTGGCTTTCTGTTCCTGTGTTAGTTTGCTGAGAATGTTGGTTTCTAGCTTCATCCATGTCCCTGCAAAGACATGAACTCATCCTTTTATGGCTGCATAGTCTTCCATGGTGTATATGTGCCACATTTTCTTTAACCAGTTTATCATTGATGGGCATTTGGGTTGGTTCCAAGTCTTTGCTGTTGTGAATAGTACTGCAATAAACATATGTGTGCATGTGTCTTTATAGTAGAATGATTTTTAATCCTTTGGGTATATACCCAGTAATTGGATTGCTGGGCCAAATGTTCTTTCTGGTTCCCGATCCTTGAGGAATTTCCACACTGTCTTCCTGAATGGTTGAACTAATTTACACTCCCACCAACAGTGTAAAAGCGTTCCTATTTCTCCACATACTCTTCAGCATCTGTTGTTTCCTGACTTTTTACTGATCGCCATTCTAACTGGCGTGCGATGGTATCTCATTGTGGTTTTGATTTGCATGTCTCTAATGACCAGTGATGATGAGCTTTTTTTCATATGTTTGTTGGCCACATAAATGTCTTCTTTTGAGAAATGTCTGTTCATAGCCTTTGCCCCCTTTTTGATGGGGTTGTTTGTTTTTTTTTCTTGTAAATTTGTTTAAGTTCTTTGCAGATTCTGGATATTAGCCCTTTGTCAGATGAGTAGATTGCAAAAATTTTCTCCCATTCTGTAGGTTGCCTGTTCACTCTGATGATAGTTTCTTTTGCTGTGCTAAAGCTCTTTAGTTTAATTAGATCCTATTCATCAATTTTGGTTTTTGTTGCAATTGCTTTTGGTGTTTTAGTCATGCAGTCTTTGCCCATGCCTATGTCCTGAATGGTATTGCATAGGTTTTCTTCTAGGGTTTTTATAGTTTTAGGTCTTACATTTAAGTCTTTAATCCATCTTGAGTTAATTTTTGTATAAGGTGTAAGGAAGGGGTCCAGTTTAAGTTTTCTGCATATAGCTAGCAAGTTTTCCCAACACTATTTACTATATAGGGAGTCCTTTCCTCATTGCTTGTTTTTGTCATATTTGTCCAAGATCAGATGGTTGTAGATGTGTGGCATTATTTCTGAGGCCTCTGTTCTGTTCCATTGGTCTATATATCTGTTTTGGTACCAGTATCATGCTGTTTTGGTTACAGTAGCCTTGTAGTGTAGTTTGAAGTCAGGTAGTATGATGAAAGGCAACTAATTACTTAATGTGGATTTTGTATCCGGAAACTTTTCTTATTTATTTACTAGTTCTGGCAGTTTTTTTGTGGAGCCTTTAGGGTTTTCCATGTAGAACATCACAGTATCTGCCAACAGGTACAATTTTACTTCTTGCTTTCCAATTTGGATGAATTGTATTTCTCTTTCTTGCCTAATTTTTTTCAATTGAAAAAAAATGATGAGAGTGGGCATCCTTGTCTTGTTTTTGATGTCAGTGGAAAGCTTTCAGTTTTCTCTATTGAATATGATGTTAACTGTAAGTTTTTCATATATGGCCTTTGATATGTTGGGGTAATATCCCTTCATTTCTAGTTTACTGAGCATTTTATCATGAGAGGGTAATGAATTTTATCAAATGCATTTTCTACATCTATTGAAAGGATTATGCAATTCTTATCTTTCATTATATTGATGTGGTGTATCACATTAATTGATTTTCATGTGTTAAACTATTCTTGCATCCCAGGAATGAATCCTACTTGGTTATGATGTATGATCCTTTTGATCTGCTGTTGAATTCAGTTTGCTAGTATTTTGTAGTGCTTTTTTGCATCGGTGTTAATCATGATATTGGTCTGTAGTTTTCTTTTCTTGTGGTGTCTTTGTCTGACTTTGATATCAGGGCCTCAGACAATGAGTTTTGAAGTGTTCTCTTCCTTGGAATCTTTTTGGAAGAGCTTGAGAATGATTGGCATTAATTCTTTTTTAAATGTTTCATGGAATTTGCCAATGAAGCCATCTGGTCTTGGTTTTGTTGTTGTTGGGAGGTATTTGGTTGCCTATTAAATCTCCTTACTACTTAAAGATGTGTTCAAGCCTTCCATTTATTCATGATTCAGTCTTTGTAGGTTGTATGTATCTAGTAATTTATCTGTCTCATCTATATTATTCAGTTTGGCAGTATATACTGTTCATATTAGTCTCTTAACCTTTTTATTTCTATGGCATCAGTTGTAATGTATCACCTTTCATTTCTGATTATATTTATTTGAGTCTTCTATCTTATTTAATTTAGATAAAAGTTTGTTAAATTTGTTTATCTGCTCAAAAAAACAACTTGTAGTTACCTTGATTTTTCCTATTGTTTTTCTAATCTTTATTTCACTTATTTCTACTCTAATCTTTATCTTTCCTTTTCTTTTGACAATTTGGAGTTTCATTTGTTCTTTTTCTAGTTCCTTGAGATGTAGAGTTAGGTTGTTTATTTGAGATC